GGGGTAATAGGCCAGGAGCTCGTTGGCCACATAGCTCTGTGTCTCCGCGGAGGTGTAGTAATTCGACAGATCCACGCCGCTCGACGCGGCGTCGGCAATGGCCTGGTCCGTCTCGGCCCTCGTGTAGAAATCCAACAGGGCCGTGACGATCTTCGAATCGACCTGGCTGCTGTTGTCGTAGCTCGACAAGGCCGAAGAGATGGCCGAGCTCACTTGGCTGTTGGTTTGGTAGTTCGAGAGCTCCCCGGCCACATAGCTGGCCACCTCCGTCTGGTCCCAGTAGGGCCCGAGCTCCCCGGCGATCAGGGCCAGCACCTGNNCCCACATCCCAGAAACAGGGGCTGCTTCTATAGCAGCCGTTATGGCGGCTCCCGTCTCCGCCTGAGTGTAGGTCTCGCTGCGGGCGTAGCTGTCCGACTCTATCAGGATGGTGTCGTCCAGATTCTGGAAAGTGGCGGTGAGGGCCCCCGCCACGGACAAGTTCCGCAGCACGTTGGTGCCCCGGAGCAAATTGAAGGTGGGCCCGCTGTTCCAGTTTTGGCCGTTGCTCAACGTCAGCGGCACCAGGGCATCCGCAATGGCCTGGTTCATCTCCGCCGTGGTGCTGTAGTCCAAGAGCTGGTCGTCCGTGTAGGTGTTGGCCTGCCCCAGGAAGGCGACGAAGTTCGCTGTGGCCTCCGCCCTCGTGAGGTGATTCGTCAGAGCGGCCGCTATGGCATCGTCGGCTTCCTGGGTCGTGTAGTACCCGCCGAGCGTGGCGAGGACCCAGCTCTCGCTGGCCTTCGGGAGCAGCAGGGCGTCCGTCTCCGCCTTGCTGTAGGTGTCGCTGCTCAGGGACAGCGTGCCGAGGCGTGCAGGTTGCGAAGGGTGGTCCCAGATGATCTGCCCGGCCAGGCCTGGGCGTTGATCAGTTGCTGGCGCCTCCGGTGCTGAGGGCCGCGAGCTGCGCCAGGTAGCGTCGATGGTGCTCTGCAGTGAGGTTCTCGGGGCTGGCGAAGGGGTCTGCTGGACGAAGGGCAGCAGGGCNNGATGAGCTGGCTCACGGCCGTGAGGTCGCTCGTGGAGGCCATGGGCAGTAGCGCTGTGGCGATGGCCTGGCTGACGTTTTTGGCGGTCTGTCGCGCGGCGACGTCGAGGGCCAGGTGGTCGACGACGGGTAGACACGCAGAGAGGTCGGAGTCTGATGAAAATTTGTGAAGCTCCACTTGTCAGGAAATCGAGCCTATCAGG